ACTCTTAGAAACTAAAATTAGTAACTACTAAATCGTATAGAGATTTTTGTTTGTACCAACATTACCCCCACCACTTTTCGGGAAAACTGTCGCCTAACCCTGAATTTTGAAGGGATCGAGTTTCCTATGACTCTGAGGCAAATTTCGAGGTTCGAACGACTTAACGACATGTCCGTCAACGTTTTCACCACTTGGCGGAAGAAACGAAAGGACGAGATCGTTCCTTTACAGCTGACCAACGATAAGAAGGACAGTCATGTCAATTTGTTGTATCTGTCAGATTCGCGAAACAACTCGAACGGCGGTCATTTCGCGTGTATAAAGAATCTGTCACGATTGTTGGGGTCTCAGTTAAACAGGAGCAAGAACATGAAGTACATATGCGATCGGTAGGTATAAAAAAAAGAGTGCGATGTATGTGGAATGAAAAAATCGTACATATTTTTTTTCAGATGCTTACATTACTTTCATTCGAGAGAGAAATTGTCCGCTCACAGCGTCGACTGCGGAAAGATGAACGACTGCGCCATCGTTCTTCCGAACGACGACAAATGGTTGTTTTTTCGCGATCACAGTAGGAAGGAGCGACTTCTCTTCGTGGTCTACGCCGATCTGAAATGCGTGTTGGAGAAAGAAAAGATAGACACGATAACGTCAAGAGATACGCATATCAGCATCGCAGAGCGTTTAGCGTGGGATACTACCTGTGCAGCGCGTACGACGAGATTAGACCCGGGTACAGATTTCGTCGCGGCGAAGACTGCGTGTTGTGGTTCGTCAACGAGCTCAACGTTATCGCGCATCGCGCAAAGGAGATACTCATGACGAACGTGACCATGGCGGAGCTCACGTTGGATGAGACACGAAATTTTTGGACCGCGACGAGCTGCCACATATGCGAGAGACCGTTTGAATCGGAGGACGGTCAACGCGTGCGCGATCACTGCCACTTGACCGGACGTTACAGAGGTCCCGCGCATTCGCGTTGCAACCTAAATTATAGAGACTCGTACGTTATTCTTGTATTCTTTCACAATCTGTCCGGTTACGATGCCCACTTTATTATCAAGAATATCGCTAACAGCTTTGAGGGTAGAATCGATTTATTACCGCTCACCAAAGAGTCGTACATATCGTTCAGAAGAATGTGAGTGAAGGCGTTAACTAGGGAAACTGCGCGAAATTGCAATTCGTGGATTTGTTCAAATTTCTCAGCACCAGTCTCGAGAAATTGGCGTTGTATCTCGATAAGGACAAACTGAAAATGATGTGTTCGGAATTTTCAGAACTGAGCGAAAGCGATTTCGACCTGCTCACGCGTAAAGGTGTATTTCCGTACGAGTACGTCGACGGCTTCGATAAGTTGCTGGTGACGGAATTACCGCCGCGCGAGGACTTTTACAGTTCGTTGACCGGCGAGACCGCGAGCGAGAGCGATTACGAGCACGCGCGGAACGTCTGGCGTTGTTTTCGCGTGAGAAATCTCGGCGAGTACAGTGATCTGCATCTCAAAACGGACTTGCTTCTCCTAGCGGATATCTTCGAAAATTTTCGCGACACCTGTATCGACACTTACGGACTGGATCCCGCGCATTATTACACCCTACCGGGATACACGTGGGACGCGATGCTGAAGTACACGGGGGTGCGATTCGAATTGCTCACCGATATCGACATGGTAATGTTCGTGGAGCGCGGTATCCGCGGCGGTCTGAGTCAATGTTCCAACAGGTACGCGCGAGCCAACAACAAATACATGCAATCGCACGACTCTTTGCAACCGTCGACGTATTTCATGTACTTCGACGTGAACAATCTGTACGGTTGGGCAATGTGTGAACCGTTGCCGTACGCGGACTTTCAATGGATCGACGACGCGGAGAGTCTCGACGTAATGTTTGTGAGGTTGGACTCCGCTATCGGTTACAGCTTGGAGGTCGACCTTGCGTACCCGCATGAACTCCACGACGCTCACGCTGACCTTCCATTCTGCCCGACGCGCGATAAGCCTCCCGGAAAACGGTGCAATAAACTCCTCGCCACTTTGCGCGATAAGTCGCGCTACGTGTTGCATTACCGTAATCTACAGCAATGCGTGCAATACGGATTGTGCGTCACGAAGATTCACCGCGCGCTTCGATTCGCGCAATCTCCGTGGCTTCGGGAATACATAGAGCTTAATACAGGATTCAGAGCTCACGCCAGCAACGATTTCGAGAAAGAAATGTACAAATTAACGAACAATGCGGTATTCGGCAAGACCATGGAAAACGTACGAGATCACGTAGACGTGCGTCTCGTGACGCGTTGGGATGGGAGATACGGCGCGGAGGCGATGATCGCAAAACCGAATTTTCACAGTCGAACCGTCTTCGCGGAGAATCTGATCGCCGTCGAGTTGCGCAGGCTCGAGGTGAGGTTGAACAAACCCATCTACGTCGGTATGTGCATTCTCGAGATATCCAAGACGCGCGTCTACGATTTTCATTACGATTACATGGTGCCGCTGCATCGCGAAAGGTGTAAGATAATGTACACGGACACCGACAGTCTCATATATTTTCTCGAGTGCGACGACGCGTACGAGGATATGAAACGCGACATCGCGAGATTCGACACGAGCGGCTATCCCGAGGACAACGCGTATCGCATGCCGCGCGTCAACAAGAAGATACCCGATTTGATGAAGGACGAGAACGACGGCGCGGTGATGACGGAATTCGTTGGACTGAGGTCAAAAATGTACGCCTTAAGGGTCGAGGGAAAGAGCGACACGAAGAAAATAAAAGGCATCAAGAGAAACGTGGTCGCGAGAACGATAACGTTCGACGATTACGTGTGTTGTCTGAACGACGCGATAGGGCAGTTTAGGCGTCAGTCGTGTATTCGTTCGACTGCACACGAGGTGCACACCGTGTCCGAGTTGAAACTCGCTCTCAGCCCGTACGACGACAAGCGATACGTCGTTCCCGACTCGTACGACACTCTACCGTGGGGGCATTACAAGATACCGCCGTGAAAAGAACTTTTTTTTCTTATTAAAATTATATTTTTTTAAACAATAATGAGTATACAATAGATTTTATGGGTTAGATTTATAAGCGCGATCGTGAGAAGACAGAAATGTTTAAACTGTCTAGTCCCACAAACGTTGATTTTTATATAGAAAAGACAGCACTCTACAGCCTTTTTTTTTCCTCTGCATAGGGAGCTACAGATATTAAGAAGGAAAGAAATATCTCTATCACTATTTAAAAAATACATATATTTTTAAGTTTACATTAAGGCAAAAAAAAAATACATTATCTTAACTACAACACGACTGTTTCATTTCTATAATACAATAAAAAAAAGCGTTACAGAATGTCGAGACGCGCGCGACGTTCCACCCATCAATCGTGTAACTTGCACACGTTCTCCATGGCGCAGTTCTTCGCGTGGCGTCTGCAGAGGAAAGATCGGATCGCACTGAGGGTCTCTAGTCGACCGATGTCCTCGTGTTCGACGTCCATCGACTCGATCTTAACGTCGAATTCACCGACGGCGTCGCCGAGAATCTCCTCCAACCATTCTTTTTTTTCAGCGCCTTTAACGTAAACGAGTTTGAGCGTCTCGCAGTTCAACCTATCGCACACGGCGCTTCGGATGATCGTTCTCGCCCGAACGCAATTCACGTCTCCATCGTTCCATTTGAAACTATGATGATTCGCCGTCAACCAGCATGCCCGCGATTTTTCCGCTTTCGATAGAAGATCCCACGACAATGGCGCGCGAAACACGTGGTGAATCAGTTCCTTTCCGTCTCTGAGCACGGCCACTTCTTTAACTGTCGACTTTTCGCGGATAACGAATCCCTGCAGATCCACAGATATAGGTACGTCGCGGTTGGCGGACATCGTCTCTCTGTACGGTCAGTCGCTACCTCCAATCTGTTTGAACCTGCAGCTTATTGCGATTTCGTCAGACGAATAGATACGTTCTTCTTCTTCTTCTTCTTCTTCCTCTGTTTTCCTTTACACGATCTTGCGGATTATGTTAGTTAGCGGATTGTACTCGATCACGCGATCGTGGATGATGAGACAGTAGGCCGTAGTATTGGAATCTATATTACGTTTGCAATCGAACTCTATGCGAACGTCTACGGTGGCGCTTTTGACGGATTTGTTCTGACGAGAACAGTCGATGACCATGAACGGGCCCCATTTGTCGAATTCTTCCATCGTTAGGAGCGCGTTCTCTCGCTCGCATCCGTAATACGACTTTCGAAATTTCGCGTACATCTCGT